AGAGAGAGAGAGAGAGAGAGAGAGAGAGAGAGAGAGAGAGAGAGAGAGAGAGAGAGAGAGAGAGAGAGAGAGAGAGAGAGAGAGAGAGTTACGTGACAATTTCGTGACAGTTACAAGGCACACTTTGAATACAAGGTGCGTAAAATTGTATTCGAATACAAGGTGCGTACATTGTTTTCGGGTTCAGACGGTAGTACTTCCGGGCCAATTTCTTCCGGGGATCCAAATGCCCTGGGCGCCAAGCTTTGTTGAACTGGCAGCACAACCCTTCCTCTTTTTTTTTTGGCTGGCAGTACCAGGCTGCCAGCCATCGTGGTCCGGGAGCCCCAAAGCCCGGTTAACGCAGCGCATGAACGTCAAAGGCTTGAGCTGGTAGGGATATTCCAGTAACTTTGTCAAGCCCCGGTATGATAGCAAAAGGAAATGACGGTACCAGGCTGTTCTGGGGTGGGGGTGGTTAGTTAAGAGGGTTTGGTACGTAGAGCCTGAAGAAACATACACTAAAGTAGAGTTACAGGGACAAGATTGAAATTTGCTTACAGAGGGACATGCAGGAGAAAGTAGGGCAGGCAAGGGTATAACAGAAAGTTGGCAGGGAGCTGGTAGGGATATTCCAGTAAGCTTGGAAAGCCCCGGTAGGATAGCAAAAGGAAATGATGGTACCACGCCGTTCTGGGGTGGTTAGTCAGAGGGTTACGTACATAGGGCCCGAATGAACATACACTCGACAGTGATGATTCCCGCCAAAAAGGAAGGCCTGCAGCCACCAAGGAGCACAAGGGTAGGACTGGCAGAGGCGAGCAAGTGAGGCGCTTGGACCATGGACTTGATAGCCGAGCATGTATACGTGTTGGTGTGCAGGTTCATTTCAACTCACCAGGCAGTCATGCTGCCGCTCCGCCAAGACGGAGAACTGGCGGAGCAAAAGGGAGCTTGGAAAGCAGCTTGCGGTTGATGAAGAACACCTCCATGGCTATGGAATAGACAGAGCAAGGAGATGTATTTGGCTATGGTGGACTGTAGTAGGAGCCTTGATTAGGGGAAGACACGGAGGAAGGAGAAGGGTACCGACACGGAGTACTGGCTGGACCATCATCTTCCACTCACTTTCTTGAGCAGCGCTGAGTCAAGAAAGCCCTGGTAGGGCATCGGCTGAGCAGAGTTTTCATCCGTGAGTAAAGTGAGACGACAAAGAAGAGTCCTAATTTGAGTCGTCTTCTCCGCATCACTCTTCCAGTTAGGACGATCGAATAACACAGCTACTAACATAACGTCATCGTCGATGTACCTAGACTGAAAGTTGCCTCAAATGCAGACATAATGACCATCCGTTCTATTCCGGGGAAGACGGCAGTGCCACGCAGAGAGAGAGAAAGTCATATGAGGGGAGCAAAGAAGATTTCTTTCTTCGAAGGAGCGGTGGACGATTCTTCAGATGTATCTAGACTAAAAGTTGCCTCAAATGCCGGCATAACGACTGTACGTTCTATTTGGGGGAAGACGGTAGTGCCACAGAGAGAGAGAGAGGAGATTCATATGAGAGTGACAAAGAACATTTCCTTTCTTCAGAGAAATGGTGTACGATTGTTCAGACATTCGTTCATTGCTCATTGATTCATCATTTCTTTCTCAATTGCAACTAATAAGAGCAGGCCGAGAGTTTGTAAGGTATCACGATGCAGACGAGATGAGGAGGGACATGACCTTGGGGTGCAATCGTGCTTTCTACTTTTTCTTCGCCTTCTCTCTTCAGTCTTTCTCTCTTCCCCCATGTCCCATCGCTCTTCTTCTTGAGTTGGAATCGATCACATTGTCTCAAATTCAGGTTCTTGTGATAACCCGTCCAAACACGGACTGAAACACACAGCTGATTTCTGAGTTTTGCTCATAGACTGAATGCCCTACTGAGTTCCCCGCCTGCTAAGTCTGTGTGTGTGTGTGCTTGCTGGACTGCATGTCTGTCTGAGTGCTGGTTGGCTTGCGTGTGTGACCATGCCTGTCTGAGTGCTGGTTGTGTATGAGTGTGTGTGTGTGTGTGGCCCGCCAGGGCACTTGTTCGTTCGTTGGGCCCTCAGGGCCGGTACTTACCTGTGGCCGTGGCTTCGAAGGGTTGCAGCAGGGAAAAAGCACTCAAGTAGCGGGTAGGCCGGTACCGCACCCGGCAGGGGGGTAAATATGCAGGTACCGGAGGCCGAGCAGAAGAAGCCAAAAGTGGCATTTTTGGAGGCCAGTGTAGGCTAGGTCTAGCGGGTACCAGTCTGAGACTAGGGCCTGTAGGGGCAATATCAGAGTCTGCAATGATGTTCCCTCCAAAAGGAGGAAGAGGTACCGGTTGCTTGGGAAGGCCAGCGGCCTGGAAGTCACCGCCCAAGAGGCAAAGCAGGCCGCTATATCTTCCGGCTGGGCGGAAGACCCGGCCTCTTTTTCGGTGTGCAAGTTTGGCGACACACTGGTGGAGCGCTGGAGGGAGCAGCGCTGGGTTGGAGCTGCGCTGCTGGGGAGGAAGAAGAAGGACTAGAGGGAGGAAGAAGGAGGAAGGAAGGAGGAAGGGGGAGGAGCGCCAGGGGTACTTACCTGGTTATGGTGGCAGCCATCTTCATCACCTTGGTGGGCGCTGCTGCAAGGAGTCCCCAGCCGGGGGAGCTACACCAAGAAGCTTCAAGGCAAGGCTGGGCATGGCGGCCTGAGCTGGAGCAGCCATAGCTGCTCTGGGTTGTCCTTTGGACGTCGGTGCAAGGCCTAGTAGTCCGCCATAGCCTCGGCCTACGTGTGTGAAGAGTGGGGGAGGCAGCCATGGCTATGGTGGACCTTGAGTGATACCTGCAGTAGAAAAGGGACTCGGACATGATTCTGGACCAGTCATTCAACATTGTATTATTATTTCTTGTATGAATAAGAGAAGGGGGAGATAAGGGGGAGGAGATTGTTGGGCGAAGAAGAAGAGCCTTGTCATTGTCTTTGCTGGTGTACATCTTCTTCTTCTTCTTTCTTAATTCTTCTTCTTCTTCTACTCCTCTCTCACCTCTCAAGTTCATTCATTTCTTTCTTTCTGCAATTGGATGGCATTGTACTGGCCAGTGGATGTGTATCTCGAAATTGGCCAGGGTCATAACATTCTGCATTGTGAAGTGGAGGAATTCAAAAAAACTGCTTGCACGTACAATGACGGAGGCGAGACGAGAAGGGACATCACATTGGTGCAATCAAGCTTTCTTCTTTTTCTTCTGGCTTTTCTTCTGCTTTTCTCTTCGGTCTTTCTCTCTTCCGTGTCCCATTGCTCGTCTTCTTGCATGGGAACTTGGAATCAATGGACGTTGTTGCGAATGCAAGTTTTGCATTATGCAGTGGAGTGTAGTTGAAACGTGTTTGCACGTACCCTTACACCCTTCATGATTTGCTCTTTCAAAGCCAATGGTCACTAAAACTCTCCCCGTCCTCATCGCAATGGCCAGGCCACCAAGCATTCTATTCACTTGAGCGCCTGTCCCCCAGGCCTTCACATTTCCAAAGTCCATCACCAGAAATTTCACCGAAGGGTCGCTGCAGTTCTTAGGGTGCTGATGCACCCAGATGTCATGCTGGGCGCGACGTGTCATTACAAGATTATCTTCATCAGTCCCACGTACCTGCAAATCACAAACAATCCCACACAGGGGATTGGGAACAGATGGGGAGGGGGAGGGGAGAAGGGGGAAGTGGCAACAGGGAGTAGGGGAGAAGGGGGGAACGGGGAACGGGGAACGGGGAATGGGGGAAGGGAGAAGGTGGAAGCAGCGGACGGGGTAAAGGGGAAGGGGGGAGGGGGGAGGGGGGAAGAGGGGAACGAGGGTGCATAACATAAGATGTTAGCTCAACTTGATACCGCACTAGAAAATTGACTTAGATAATAGAGAATTACACAAGGCTATTTTCATCAATCCTCCTCAACTCAGCTCAAATGAGACAAAACAAGAGCGCAACCGGCTGAAGGCACCAGCAAGAAAAGGGTTGGACGCGGTTGGAGGGGTTGGAGGGGGTTGGAGGGGGTTGGAGGGGGTCGGAGGGGGTTGGAGGGGGTTGGAGGTTCAACATGTTCTCCCGGTTGGGGGTAAGGAACAAGAAAATGCAAAATAGTTTATACAAAGGTCAATCCGCCGAATTTTTTTTTACTTTTTTTTTTTCCGATGGGTGGAATTTTCTGGCAACTGGAAAGCATGCTGTGTACCGTAGGGGAGAAAAGAAGGTGGGACTCCGTGGGACTCGTTTCTTTGACTGTCACCACCGTCAGACCCTCCATAAGCATGCGGCTTAATGTTTTTGGATGTGAGGCCAAGCAGTACCTAGTTGAACTCAACTTTTCAGGTGAAAGAGCGGCAGGGGAGGGGGGGGGAAGCGAAGGGACAGGGACAGGGGAAAAAAAAAAAAAAAAGTTGAAAAAGAATTTCTCCGTTTGCACATTTTCCACCCAATGGAACCTCCATGGAAGGCGGACATCTCTTGGTCCCTGGGTGTGATGCTCATTGGAATGAAAAGTGGAATACAGAAAGGAATTGCCATACTTACCGTCTTCACCCGAAAAGAACACCTGGTCATTATAGCTGTACTTGGGGCAACTCTGAGTTTAGATATAGCAATAACAACTGGCCGTTCTATTCGGCCAAAAGGCCTTAGTTCCCAAGCCTGAGATACACACCTCAAAAAGCCTGTGAATTACTAATCGAGTTCTCACCCTTGAGTCGTTTAAGAAGAAGTCCCTTTTTTTTTTTTTTTGCGAAACACATCGCCGAGGGTGGTACCCAGGGGTGATATGAGCACCTCCACGTATCACCCCAGCACTTGTGGCTCCAATCATATTGGTGGGTTTAAGAAGGCGTCCTGACTTTTGAATGGTTTTAAAACAAGTCCTAACATTTGGATGATTCTACCGCTGAGCAGCGATGTCAAAAAGCTTCCCGTACCCTCCTTTCCCAACGTAGAAAAAACAGGCGTTGTTTTGCCTTTCCCTGTGCAGTTTTTTTTCTCTTTCCTTCTATAAGCGGCGGAAGTTGAGCCTTTTTTTTTTACATCTTACTTTTTTTTTTTACATCTTACTTTAGCTTTTTTAGAGGCTTCTCTTTGACTATTTTTTCATCTTCCTTTGGCTCCCCGTGAACCCATCTATAAAAGTGCCTCCTCTAACGTACAATGCCACCATGTTGATGTGATCGAGGGCGAGGTGCACACATCCCCGTGTGCCATGACGGCCCACACGAGGCAGAGTAGAGGGGGAGGGTGTGTGTGTCGTCATATTCGCCATACACAAACTCCACAAAGAAACGCACGACTGTACCGGACTGTTTCGTCGGACTTTTACCGAGTCATCAGGAGGTTGAACCCCGACAGTCTGTGTGTGTGTGTTACATTTGCACCAAAACAGCCCCTGTTTCACCCAGATGAGTAGATCCGATATCGAAACACCTCTACCTCTACCTCTATTGCAGACAATGAAGCACACTTGAGATGAGCCAACACAAGAAGTTAAAAATGATACGGTTCCTTAACCTCTAGTGCAAGCAACATGGAGCAGAACAGATTTGTTATGTCTCTTTCTTGACTATCTTAGTACCTTTACTACCTTTACTTGGCCTTTCTTTGGGGAACCCCTTTTATCTGTTCTCGCAGCTCCGTTTTCACTTGTCCTCTCACGTACAAGGCTGGTCACGTCGATTGTGGTTGAGCGCCAGCTTCCCACACCCCCGTGTGCCATAACGGCACACACTTGCACGTTATGAAAGGAGGCAGCATAAAAGGGGGGTATGTGTGCATGGATGGAGGGGGAGGGAGGGAGCGTGTGTGTGCGTGTGTATCACAATTCTGAACCTTCTTTTTTTCTTTTCTTGTTCACAATCCATCCCTGTTGTTGTCAACAGCTCGTAAATTCTGCCGCCCCGGCCTGCTGTATGAGAAATTCGGGGGGAGGACGTCGCGGTACTCTCGAAATCAGAGCACGGACGGCAGCATGTCTGTTCTTTTTTGCTGCACGCTATCGAGCATCACCTGCTGACAACCTGACCCAGCACTCCTCTGACAAGGACACATTTCTCCTCAGCTGGTCCCTTCACTCTGCTGGACAGGCCCATTAGTCACCTCCCTGGGCCGAGGATTCTTCGTTTCTGGCCGTCAATTGTGAAGACTGATGGCCAGAAACAAAGAATCTGTGGGTAAGTGGGCCCCCCTGCCAAGGGGCAATCATATGTCCCAAGGACCAAGGACCCAGCCAGCTTCCAGACCAAACCAATATATCTTCAGCGCGGCCACTAGCGGGGGAAAGGAATCTGGGCAGGGTTCAAGTCACATGAAACTCCCATGAGCAGTGTAGGTCAGCCCAGTCATTCATTTGTACGTAGGGGTTATCAACCTTATGATCACTCTCCCCTACACTCTCACTATGAGATCCCCACATAGTTACTCTTCAGGTGGACAAAGAAAAAAGCAGACTCAAATATCGTTGAGAAGACATTGACTCTCTCTCTCTCTCTCTCTCTCTCTCTCTCTCTCTCTCTCTCTCTCTCTCTCTCTCTCTCTCCAGTGAGAGAGAGAGAGAGAGTCTGGTTTGATTTTCGTCACAGGCACCTTGAGGCCGGTGGCTGGTGCCCACCTCGAGGTATCAGTTGCTAGGCAGTCTGCAGACTGTAGAGGGTTAACCACAAACCGGGGTTAAGGTAGATTACCACTTACAGTGTAATCAACTACTCAGCTTCCTGATGAGTCAGTGATACTCCGAGGGAACAAGTTTGTCACAGCCCCTCGTTTGTTGTCCTCTTCTCCCTCTCTGCCTACAGTTTACCGGGAAGCTCTGTTTGACGATATACACACATAAATGATATAGTTTAGAATCTTTGATCGTTTAACCGCCAGTACACGGCCCCAGCCTTGCTGAAAAGAAAACTCGCCACCTACAAAATTTTTGGGGGCTCAGCGCCGTAGATAAATAGAATCGGCAGCAGGCGGCCTCCGAAAAGGGCCCGCAGCCGATAGCTGGAAGTACTGGTGGTTTAAACCTGAATACTAGCTATAGACTTAGACATTGGCTATAGACTTAGATAACACCATAATATTCTTAAAAAAAAAGAAAAGGAACATCCGTTAAAATTGGAATGAGACAGAGAAGATTAGCATGGTGCCTGCACAAGGATGACACACATTAAAAAAATGCACAAAAATGACCCATGCAGCCCAAGAACATGCACCAGGGCACCCAAGGCCGCCTGAAATGACGGTCATGTGGTCTGGGGGTCCCAGATCCAAGGTCGTCCCTCCCAAGGCCTGTGTGGGAGGCTCGTGCATGCCATACAAGCCCCCTATAGCCCCTTGCAATTATTCTGCCACCTGCAACCCAGAGTAGGACGTATGCTCTACTCTGCTACTCCTGTCTCTTATACACATCTAGATGTGTATAAGAGACAGTAGCGGAGCAACGCCCTTCGCTCTCCACCACC